ACTACCACTACGACTACTACGACTACGACTACGACTACGACTACGACTACGACTACGACTACGACTACGACGACGACGACGACGACTACTACTACTACTACTACTACTACTGCTACCACATCTACGACTACGAGGACGACTGCTACCAATAATAGCAACTCTTACCAGCTTCGACAATGAGTAGGAAAAACACATCATCATCACGCCAAACTAAACGCAATCCGAGCATATCGTTTGCTTCATAGAATTGCTATAACTTGTGAAACTAATACAAAATGAACATGACAATAGTTGACCATAATAATGCCTGGTACAAGTAGTACAGATGTTGATACTACTAAATCCAAAACATGACTACTATACAAAACAACAACGAATGACGACAACAACAACAACACCCACAATACTATATAATCGTTCTCTCTATTAATGTCACCATCGGTTCAGAGGCCTGGAAGAGCGTCCTCTTCTCGACCCGGCCCAGGTTCAGCAAGTTCTCTGCAGTCAGCAAGCAGCCTGCTGCTCTGCACGAAACGTAGACTTGTCAAATCGGCTTCGATTCTGTCCGAGCAGTTGTTCATACGGGTCGAGCAAGCTTCTGCAAGATCAAGCAAGTCAAAGATTCAATGCAAGAAAGCTCCGTCAAACAGCTGCGCCTTGGACCAGGTCCTGAGACGGTGGACAGCTCTTGAACATTCAACTCAGGAGGTGAACCAATGGGTTTAGGGTTTTGGTTGAGGGTTTAATAGGGTTTAGGGATTAGGGTGCCAATAACATTCAAGACTCCAGTTCCAGCTCGTTGGCAGGGCAAAGAACTTGCCGCCTTCAGGAGGTTAACCGTTTCCGATCAGCCTCCTATCAACATTCACTCATGAAAGAGATGCCTGGATTGGACGCTGCGTCGCCACCTGCAGGGTCAAGGCAGATCATTATCGATAGTGTGCTCCTTGGTCCCTTGCAGCATTCCGGAGGAATTTGTGCCCCTGTCGCCTCCCCCACAAAGCCACGAGGACCTGCGTTCTCAGGTCGTGCTTGCATCAAAGCTTCCTAGACGTTCGAGCCTCGATAACCCGCAGGATCAGCAGCACCACCGCTGGATGCTTGGCCACACTGCGGAAGACCTCACAGAAGAAGCGTCTCGGGGTTCGGCAGGTGTGTCCGAAACAAACGGTGGCCTGCCTTCTTGATGTAGCCACTGGCCGCCTTGGCTTTAGCAACGGAAAGCAGATCGCAGCCTGTCGATCCTGCTGACCGCAGCACACCTCGACCAAAACGGTGCAGAAACCCGCTTTCTCTCATTCCTTCAAGCCTTGGTGCTGCAAGGTCTAGCGGCGTCTGCGACGGCATGGCGGCCGAAGACCACGCGCTTGGCGGCTTAGCGAATCACTTTACACCTGTATGTCGGGCACTGGATTCCGCAAGGGCACGAATGATGTACTTTGCTACAAGTAACTACGCTTGACTTCAGGTTGTTTAAAGTTTAAACCAGCGAGCAGATGGTGACCTCCTGCCTGCTCGGCCAGCAGTAAACTTGCTTGCATCCTTCCCTTATCTTTAAAATCACGCCACCTGCGCATTCATCCCTACCATGCCAGTCATGTCCAGTATGCGAGTTCCCTAACTAACACAGGATAGGATATCCTAAACGAGCTACCGTGGCTGTCAGCCGAAAGCTCCGAATGCAGATGTGTCCAGCATGCAAAAGGCCGAAACTCTTTCCATGTCCTATGCTTCATCTCGCAGGTCTGCAATTTGTCGTCCTGCTGCTCGAAAAAGCTGTAATTAATCTCTAGTTGGAAAGAAAGCTGGGCTTCTGGCGCAGAGTTTCCAACTCTTTCGTTCTGTCTTGGCCTTCTGGTGCAAGAACATACCACGGGTGAAAGGCATGTGAGCTGACATGCAATGCCATTATTGTCTTTGCAAGGCCGTCGAACCTCACCATAAGATACAACAAAATATCATATATTTCTGCCCAATATACTATGATATAGTTCGGTTGCACTCGGTCTTGGTGCCCGGCAAAGGTTTAGCTCCAGCCTCTTCCTGTAGCCGACAGACTCGTCCAAACTTGACTGAAGACCCGCTGCAACGCACATTTACCCCTGACGAGCACCACTCTCCCTTGCCTCGGTATTGTTCTACCAATCAATAGCAATAAAGAACTATCCGATGCCTACCTCAGAAGGAGAGCCAAGTGCGAAGTGGCCGTCGTTTCCGGTCTCGGCTCCTCGTCAACGCGACGCCACAAGAGTTCTGAGGGAAGCGACGGCCGGAGACGCAAGCAATGCCCAAGCACTTGAAACCTCGAAATCTGGAAAACCTCGATGAAAGCGAAGATTTCTGGCAAGCATGTTAAAAAAAGCACTCCCTCAAGAACCCAGAAGTTCAGCTCATGAATACACACCTCAAATCCGTCCATACTCTCAAGGATTCCCATGCACTATGATACTTACGTGAGGGTTGTTGGGGTCTCTAGGCCAACTGAAGGCATGCCGAGCCCCGGACATGATTTCCAACTTGTACCCCATACCGATGTTGCAGGAGTGCCCTGCATCGATTTGGGGGTTTAGGCATGTAGGGATTAGGGTTTTACCCTCTCGCAACTCGGAAAGACGAGGTCTGTCGCGTTCAACTGGATACAACTACGAACAAGGCTAGCGAACAATCACTCCTACACCACTGCAGTTCTAGGCGACAGTACAAACCAATACCTCACCCCAGCACAATTGAAGATTCAGGAAATAAACAAACTTCCCTCGCAGTGATCATTGGCAGGGCTGGTGCATTGACCATCTAGAATAGTGCTGCTCATGTGTCTAGACGTGTGGTTGCCGCTACGGAGGCTAGTGCACGATCACCGTTAAGCTACAAAGGTCTCAGAGACGATAGAGACGAAATGGACCCTTCCCTCACCCCGGCCCAGGTAAGATAGGATGCAGTAAGCCCCAAAGTGATCGTGTAGCGGTCGGTGCATTGACCGACTACAAGACTGTATCAAACAGTTTCAAAGGTTTCGAAGGTGTTTTACATCAGCATAGCCCAAGGTGGCCTGTAGGACTCCGGGATCGGAAACTAACAAAACAGTACCTCCAAACATGGCTAAAGGAGTAGGCATCCCACCGGGTTTTAGGGTTTAGGGTTTTAGGGTTTAGGACCACAGTGGCTCCATTCTAAAACGATTTGACATCATCGAGGTCGACGTCGAACATGCGGTTCTTGGACACCCTGTCGCCAGCTGCAATGCTTCGACATGTATGTGTGTGTATATATGCATATATGTATACATATATATATA